GAACTAAGTAGGGGGTCGAAACGCCTCGGTCACATTAACCACGTGGTTTGCTTCCACCAGGTGTGAAACGATCGGGCTATTACTTATTTACTCCAGTATTCAGTCAGGCCGGGTGGTGCTCACGGACTCGTTCGGATAAACGTCTGCTCGTGTGGCCAATATACCTTGCTTCAGAGGAACAGGTACATAAGTACACACCAAAAGAGTCAGTAGAAGCAGGCAATTGATCCTTGAGTTGGAAGCACGGAAGTGTCCTGAAGATGAGCACGATGCGCAGTTTTCCTGTGGGAAACGCTTTTTCTGCAACTGTACTCAGGTTACGTGTCACTTCATCTCTGCATTTTTATCCCCCTCGAAAGGTAGTGATGTGTGAATTGGTTTCTTCTCAACGGTGATGACCTTGTTTGGCAATCGGTGACGCCTCCGAATGTTGTCCACAAATCATCCTGGGTATCTATTGTGGAATCAAACCACGTGGTTAATGTGACCGAGGCGTTTCGACCCCCTACTTAGTTCGCAGCCGTCGATCTAAGAGGATTAGGAGTCGCATTCTGGCGTTCGGAATCCGCCTACATAATCACCTCTGTGATCACAAAAACAGTTCGTAAGAACACTCGGTCTTCCATGGCCAACACCACACACGACACAGCCATCACACCACCAACCCCTGATGACCCAAACCAATACGCATGTGTGAGGACCAAAGTGTGAGCAATATCCGGTTATGGAACTGGAATATTGATCATTTCTTTTCCAACTTGTCATGATTTCTCACCCTCCTCCCTTCTTAACAGTTTGATATACATTGTGATGTATGAGGCTGTAGATGAATCAACGCGAACGAGCTTGTTCGCTACTCTGTGTTTTCTTATAATTGGTAACGATGTTATATTCGGACAATATGTTCACTGCTTGGTTTCTTTAGGTTTTGATGATTTTAGGATTATTCTTTATTTTTTACATGAATGGATTATGCACCGAACGTTTTGTTGCTGATGCTCTACACTGTGGCACTTGGTGTACAGTGACTTCCAGGTTTTCAGCTCATATTTCGTATGCGACAGCGAAAATGTTCGCTAATTGATTTAATCCATTCATTCGCAATTTCTTTCAAACGAATTAAGTTAGTGCATTTTCAAACTGACTGGGCTCTGCTCACTGCTTGTGTTCAAGGATGAGTAAGGCTAGTTGCTCCTAATGAAATTATCACAATGGGTTTTACACTGTTGGGCTTGTTTGAGAGTGAGCGGGAGGAGTAGTGCAATTTTTTCATCGTTAGCTACTCTAAGGTGGTCAAGGGAGTGGTTCGTGTTCTCAATCCTTGGCTCTATTAATCCATGTGCAACGCCATTCTGGAGGAAGTCATAAAATAAGTAAAGGGATAATGTGGTGCTAGCAAACTAAATTTAATCAAAGCATAAACACGCATTCAAATTAAAAGTGAGGTGATCTGGTGAGCCATCGATACATTAGAGACCTTTTTCTTGTGTGTATATTTTGGAATTTATCTATTTTTATCGCCATTGGCTGCTATAAAGCTCATATTTTTAACTTCCGGCAGTGAAATCTCAATTGTTTGGTGGTTATTCCTTGACGGAGGGAGTTGTGCACGATTAAGGGTACTGAATTTCTTGCGACTGGACTCTCAGCTGCTAAATGTTTTCAATACCATGAATACCTAAACCAAAAACCCGTTTGTTCAAATCATTCACGCAGAAAGAACCGTGTGCGTAAGTATTTGGGCCATTATCAATCATTATTTTATGTTATTTTAGTGAAAAGTGCGAAGAAAAAGAGAAAGTGAGGAAGTGAAATCAAATCTCTTTTCTACATTTGTTGGCGGTAAACTAAAATTATTCTTCCGTTACTGTGCTATCTCTGATGATTAAGTTTTTGACATATATCTGGTTTGTTTTGTTTGGTCACCTGCATTGTTCCAATCGATACTTTGTGCCCAATTGAGTCACTTTCAGTCGTGGTGCTAATCCATGAGAGTTTCTCGTTATAGGATTAGACAATTATTCTCCTGATCCGATTGTGTTGTTTTGGAACTCTTCGAATAGAATCACCCGGCTCGACAATTTTTTCCTAGCTGTCTTGGAAATCATTGGCAGCTTTTTAAATTATTCTTCTAGATATGAAAAAATGTCGCATAATGTTTTGGGTACAGAATTCGGAATTTCATTTGTGGTCTTAACGATGCGCTTACTCAAATTAGAATGAGAACTTCTAGGATGAACAGAAAATTAAACTTATTTTTTCCTCGCTGCTTTTACAAACGTTGTGCTTACTAAGACCTTCCTCTAAAACCTTTTCAGCCTAAATCCTCTCCTGTACAGAATATAGTGATGAACATATCCAATACGCTGTCTGCATCATCCAACCTCGAATGTCTCAATGGAACGCTCTGTGTGCTCGCAAGTCCGTGGGCCAACCAGACAATGACTGGCACAAATCAAAGCTCATCTGGATCCACAGACGGTTCGAACGCATTTCGCCCAATCCTGCTCATGCTAATCGCCTGTGTTGGCCTGATTGGGAATACACTCAACCTGATTGTGCTACGCTCCTATCACACAACTCAAATCACACATGGAGGCGAATGCACTGCCCGAGTGAATTTGCTCGGATTAGCTTTGGCCGATTTTCTCGTCTGTTTAACCTCACTCCCGCTAGGCTATGTAAAACGACGACACGAGTCGTTTTCATTCATGCTATTCTACACTATTGTGGGCCCCGGTCTAGTCACCTACTTCCTCTCAGTCAGCATTTGGATGGTTTTGCTGATGAGTGTAGCACGCTATTTGGCCGTGTGTCGTCCACTCACCTCACGTGCATGGCTTACCTCGCGGCACATGTTTCGTGTGATTCTGTTGATCTATGTGTTCGGTATACTGTTTCACATTCCATCTTTTCTTATGTTCACTTACGACGAGGAACTGGACTGGTTTACCGCACGATCAACAAAATGTCTTCAGTCCAATCAGACCATGACCGAGCATACCAAGCATGCGTGTACACAACCCACTGTGCTGGTGGTGTATGAACGTCCGTTTTGGCGCTCGGAGACCGTAGATGTCACACATCATGTAATTCACATTCTGTTCACGAACATTGCCCCATTCATTGGTGTAGTCATATCCAACATTGCTGTCATCCGTGCATGTCGTCGTAGCGATCAATGTCGCCGGATGGGTGTTGTTGTGCATGACAAGAGCGGATCCCACCGATCCCGTACGAGTGGATCATCACCGAGTCATAAATTTATGCTGAAAGCCAACCGACCGCCAAACGGTGTGCCTCGCGAACCGTACCCTCTACGTGTTCCGGGAACACCAACAACCGGTGGCTTTTGGTTTAATCACACTGGCCGAGCCATTTCGTGTCGACTACCTGCATCCGCATACACACAAACCGCGTCCACAATGATTCGTTATCCGGGAACAGCCACAAATCGTGTCACCCCACTGCTCTTGGCAGTTATAGTAGCGTTCCTATTATTCACTGCCCCCTTCGGCATAGTTCATTTTGTTTGTCTGAGACTGATGCGTAATCTGGGTGTACGGGTACGAGATAATCGGCAAGCACGTCGATTATACATGGCACTGAATTTGACTGTGGAATGGACAAATGTAGTTCAGTTGTTTAGTTGTGCATCAAATTTCTTTCTCTATTTTCTCGTGAGTACAATATTTCGTCGTACGACCAGGCGAACATTTCGTCGAATGTACAGATACATTCGAAACGCGCACACCTACTGTTGTTCCCTACTCTCTTCCCGTTGCCGCTCAAACGACTCAGACGTGTGGAAACCGGATAGTGCAGTTCCAGCACTACAACTTGCGTTAAATCAGAAATTATCAGCCCAGATTGTGCCAGAGAATCGGCTACCCTTGAATCCCCTAAAATCGGAACCTAACCCAGTGAACTACGCCCAGGTAATCCACTTACCACACAAGTTCGATTCTAAAATCTTGCATCATGGCACTCATTGCTGCGGGGCATGTCGGCAAGCAATGTATCCTGGTGGGCCATGCACCTCACCGTGCCCTCCAGGGAGAACATTAACAGAAACTGCTCTTCAATCTGATGAGGCAAATGGCCCTTGTATATGCCGAAACATGGCGGGTGTGAAACATTTCTGTTGCCAGTACTCCAGACAGTCGTGCAGTGGGACTGCATTTTGTTCCGAACCGCATTGCTCTTGTACATCGCGGTGTTCCAGTTGCCTGGGCCATGGATCGTGTACATGTCCACCTGTCAAATCAGCTCTACTGGATGAGGACACAGTGCCAGAGATAACCAAAGTTACCGATCAATCAGACGTGGGCGAATCATTCGTCATTACGGATAGTTGAAGTCATGACTCTGATGTGCAATACGTTCTTTTAACCGACGCTATTCCACAGTCAATTAAAGCGAACTATTTATTTTCATTTCGTCATTCTTATTTCTTCATTGAGCCATCAAAGCAAACTGTTCTCGTCTTTTATACCTTTTAGCAAACATAACGCGCCCGATTTTGTCAACTAGATATACGCTCACCTTTATTTTCAAGTGTTCACAAACCTAATAGTTTCGGATGGACCTCCTACGATTGAAAAAAGATCGTAGAAAGCGTTCTCAATACTCAAACCAAAAGACATACCAGTGATGCACATTCAAATTGAATAAGGAAAAAGAATTGTGAATCGATTTGATAGAAATCAAACGATTTGTAACAAAACCATTGCATGCCCATAAGCGAAATCCTGTTTACGTTTACCAATCTACAAGCTCGCCTGTGTAATGACACCTTACACACTACAAGTTTAAGATTTTTAAGTGATGTCAAATACAGATTGCTTGTATTTGACCAATAAAGATCTTGATTTGCTGCCAAAATACGAGGGCAACAGCGATTTGTCGATGATGGAATTCTTTGGAGGATAAGGACGGTCAACATATGACAGTCACCGTATCAATTGGATTGACGTGATACAGTTTGGAAATGCTAACCCAACGACCGGCTTTACGAAGCGGACACAATCTAATATCGGCAATAATGTGTTCACCAGTTAAGTTTGATGGATTGAAATGCTCATATCGGATGGCGAGATGATAGATCTCTGTCAGTTTCCAGACTGGTAGGTCAAGCCTCTTGTATTGCTTTGATTTAAGGTGCGAGCATAGATGGTTTAAAACCGGCTTTGGTGACGTACGTGTTGTGACGTCTTAGCTATTTTCGGATGCCTTGGGAGAGAAGTAGAGAGTGACTCATTGGAAATACTGCCTCTAACAAGGTGAATATCTACTTTACGGTGATAATTGTTGGTAGTGGTTTTGTTTACGCTAACCAGACTGCTTAGTTGAAATTTTCCTCACAATTAGTCAAAACGAGATAAGCACAGAAAATAGACGTTCAGTCGTTTGGCGACCGAGGAAAGTCTCCATATTCTCAAAATTTTAATGAATGATGAAGTTACGTAGTTCCGAAAGGGTAAAAGAAATCATCTGTTTAGAGACCTAAACTGGAGTTGACAAGCTGCGTGTTGCGGTTGTCGAGCTACAAACCGATAGGAACATCTGAACAAACTTGGCTATTCCAGAGAGCTTGAATGGGAAGTGGTTAAAAAGGTACCAATACACACACCTTTCATGTATTGAGTTCGTCGTTCGAATACCTAACAGAACGGCGGTATGCACAAATAATGAGCACTGTTGAAAGCGAAACTCACATCTAATACCACTTGGAAAGATATCAGTTGTATCCTTTATTATCAGTTGGACAGGTACTGTCTTTTCGCTATCATCACGGAAAACTCTCACCGTTTCCACTGAGACACATCAGGTGTCTAACCGCAACTTCTTGATACAATTGACTTGGTGAACATCACACGCAGAATGTCTACCGCGTCTATGAAGTCAATACTGGAGAGTCAACGTTCTTCAGCATACGGCAAAGTGTTACCCTTTATTAAAATCTTTTTGACTTCCGTCGTAAAACTTCTCATTCAAGTACATCCATAGTTATTCCGTACCGAATTTCAGGATCGAAATTGCAATCAATCGAGGTCTTCCATGCACTACTTCCAAATGATTTAAAATGGATTTCCTGTTTCCAAACTGCATTTGAATGTACTCTTCGTCTGCTGTAAATCATTCTAAGCGTAAGCTCAGTTAATACACAAAGGTAACTCTATTTAGGTAATATAATAATGAACCTGTTGATTTTTAACTTGGGGTTAACAAAAGTAAACCACAATTCTCCCAAACCGCACTGCACTGATGGGACTCAGAAAATTCTAAACTATAAACAAACTGATTCGTTTCAGTCAAAATAATTGTGGGAACCATATACAGCTGCAGTCAATTAGCGCTCGTTTTCACTTGATCAGCTCTGTTAAAAATCTGCTCAACTATTCCTTGAGCACTTTTGGCTAAGAGCCAGTGCACCAAATGAAGGTGCGGTTTTGTGCAATTTAGTAAATTAAAAAATCTCAGTTGTTACACTAGACGTGGAGTCAAGTTGAGGTCCTCACCATAAATGACGTGTGGTACGCATCCTGTTCGGTAGTCAAGGGCAACAATCAACTGGTTCTGTTGCAAACTGCGTCTTACAGACAGCAGATACGGAGGATAACAAAGTCGGAGCTCTACTGAGGTGCAGTGGCAGCATATTGTGTTGTGTTGCATCAAATTTTATTGACAGATGTTTCTAATCAGGTGTGGTTAAATTTAGATCAAAAAACGAAAATACGAATTCGTTGCAGACATGGACACAAACCATGGAGAGAGAAAAAATGAAAAGTGTATAACCTTTATTCTTCCCAAACGTTTCTTCAGCATCCTAGGGACCACTTTGTTTGCCAGCGACAATACGAGTCAACTACCTAAAGACGAAAATGTGGACACAGTTGAAGGATGAAAATAACCAAAAAAAATTGATTGGAATAGAAAGTCGTGCTAGTTATCACCGAGATTCTGGTGAGTATACAGACCATATGGAACTATGTGAAAAGGAAACACCCAATTTATTAATGATAGTAGCCATGTGAAGCAATGAAATGTGGCCGCTGATGGGCCAAGATTGGAAGGAGAGTTAAGTCAGAAAGTAGACCAAAAAGAAAACTTATAAAGAATAACGGAGAAAGCAGTGATCAACAAGAAGAAACTACAAATAATTTGGCAGATAACTATCGAAATCTATGGTTCGAAAATGGCAGTTTTATCATATTGTTGATAAAACTCAATAAGAAAAGACCATTCAATATTTCCTTCTACGAAGATTCCAAGGCACTCGATAATGTTCCCCCTATGGACGATAAAAGAGCTATATTTGGATACGGCGTACGCAAAATAGTAAACATGCAGTTAAAACACCTTCATAAAANGTTAAAACACCTTCATAAAATATATTGATGCTTGCCTGGATGGAAACGTTTTCAGTTGACGTTAGCCTATCGAATAATGACAGAATTTTCGACCGAATGAGTACGGATGGGCCCAGCACAACATCATATCCACATGTTACAGATTTCTCATGTAGAAGAGCAAATAAATAACTTATATAACTAATGAACAGATAGGACCAAATAGATATCAGCATCACACACTGCCTCAGACTTATTCTTTAATGAAAACATCCTTACACACGTGTTTATACATCAAAAGTCGCAACAGAAAATTATTGTTCAACCACTGAATAAAGGACTCTGAATGACTATAATACTCCGATGTGTGGAGAACAGTTTGTCGAGAAATCAAGTTAAAGTTGGAAGGAAAATCGAGAAATATTAGTTGTGCAAACGAAAGAGTGTTATGGGAACAGTCAAAACGAAAGTAGACGAGTATACATAACAAATTACAGCAGAATAGTTAGCATTAGGATAAAAATACCTAGAGAAAATATTATTGGTGGGCACTTTTGAGAGCAATATGTATTATTGTGTTACGAACGGAATTAGGGCCAGTTGAATTAGTAGAATAGATAGATAACCAAGGTCAGCTGCAGACCTTGTTTTACAGGAGGATGGGTATTGACCAAAACTCGTCGCATTTGTTTCTCCAAACGCTTAGTGTTTTCAGCCTCATTCACAAAAGTGAATATGATACTGCTCCACATCAGACGTAAACTATTAGCCTAGTACCATAAAAATTGTATGACTGCTCGATTTTGATGACGACTGCTAAGGTATCAGCTTTAAACTAACAAAACCACAATTAAAAAACAAAACTAAAATTTATTTATCATAATATCTCATTGTCTTGATGCAGGTATTGTTCTTTCATCTCGTCCATGATCCATTTGCCTTTCTTCATTTCGGAGCGCTGGAGGTAGTCGCTTTACATGCAGTCCACTGAATCGACTTCCCAACGGACTGCCAGTTTTCTCCAATACATGCCGCATCCTAACCACTGAGGACCAATACCGAGACAGCTAACTTATCCCTGTTTCTACAAGAGGGAAACGTTGTTGATAACATTCAAATACTAAATACTAACAACTGAATGAATTCGGCATTTGTCATGAGCGATCCAGAAACAGACCTAAGTGACACCTCAATGTATGTGTCAAAGTACGATCTTAGGCAGCAATCATATGGTTATTGGAATTACTATGAGTGTTTGAAATATACCCCAAACTTGTTATTTTCGTGGTACAATTAAAAAAGCGGTCAATTTTTCGGGTGTTCTAGAACTGAAAATGTTCTGTCATACTTCACCCATTTCAATTATTTGTCGACTATACGAATTAAAAGGTGTAAGAGGAACCTGTAAAAAAGAGCACCTTTTGAGTACGAAATAATTGTGGTCATGTTGCAATGATAGGCTTACTCCATTGTAGTACCAAGACGAAAGTTGGCACTCAGTAAGGCAAACCAGAAGCTCTATGATGTCAGTGAAACTGTTGGCAATCAACTGGCAAGCTGCACCAAACTATAATATATCAAAACGATGCTGGTCTGACTCTGTTTTTATTCGGATAAAATGAAGCTTGCTCTGATGCCGCAAAGAATCAGATTGATGTGGATCATCTGCAAGTATTTTTCATAGTGAGAAATTTCTTGGTTACCTATCTATCCCTCTGTTTTGTTTGTAAGAACGTTCCAAAGTCTACTACCACTAGATTATTGCAACTGCATCACCAAGATGAATGGTGCTTCAAATGGTATCCATTTTTCAATGACAATCGCGAAGTTAGGTATTAGGATTTTTGAAAAGAGATTTCCTTCTTTTGGAAAATATGAATTTCGGAAGCGCATTTAGACCAGAATGGACTAAAAAACTTACACTCCGATAAATATCCAATCCAAAGTTAGATGTCATAATTTTTCTTGGTCATATTTTGGACCATACAGGGTGTATTCCACTGCAT